CCCCAACCCCCCTCCAGGGCCCCTCTCCCGCCCCGATCCTCTCCCCTCCCCCACCACCTTCTGTACGGATTTGCTCTCCGGAAGGAATTCTGGTTTCGCGTGATCCTGCCTGCGTCCGTGTCTCTGATTCTGCCGGCAGCAAAAAAAAAAGAAAAAGATGATAATAATAATAATAATAAATAGCCTTGATCAGGGATGGTTGGTTGGCCTCGGGCTCTCGCTTCCTGGGTGCCCCAGATGGCAGGGACAGATGGGCGCAGAGCTGCTGGCTGTGACAGTCACTCTGGGGTTCCTGCACACCCACGCACGCTGCTCCAGGACAGGGACGGGCCGCAGCCCCCACTCCACGGCCAGGTGGAGAGGGCCCCAGTGGTTCATCTTGGGGATATGGGGGGCCCAAGATGGGCCCCATTCTCCTGCCTCCAATGATGGGGACAAGGCCCGGGTCAGGACACCTGTGACAGCGGGAGCGCCGGGGAGGTGGGGGAGACCGGTGGGGGACCGAGGCTGGGCCCCGGCTGAAGGCACAGGGTGCAGCCTTCCAGGCTGGAGAAGTCAACAGCCAAGAGGCCGAAGAGCGTGAACAGCAGCATGGCTACCACCCACTCGCAGATAGCCGAGATGGAGCGCAGCAACCGGGTGTGCAGGATAATCACTTCACGGGGGTCAAGGACCACACCACTCCTGGCTCACCCGGGAGCCCAGCTTAGTTTCTGTGTAACCTCAGGGTGGGCCAAGGTCGTCTCTGGTGTCCTCTCCCACCCCCCAACCACCATGCCCAGCTCTGTCTTGTCACATCCAGTCTCAGAGGGAACCTCTGTCCCCAATCCCTGACTCCCAAACACCTGCATTTGCACATGCCTCCTGCTGGAATTGCATTCCCAACATCCCAAATCACTCTTGCCTTCCCTGTCCCTTCCCTGACCCGTTGGAGGCTCTGGGGATACCCAGCTGTCATCACTAGCCCTCCGGACATGCAGGGTTTCCTAACACATCTGCCTGGGGCCCACAAGTCCCTCATGATCTGCTGCTCCTAAAATCTGTTCTTCTTTCTGGTGTCCCCACCTCAGTGGCCATACCGCCGCCATCCACTCCTGCACCCAAGCATATACCTATTCCCCCAGCCCCGCCTACCCCCTTGACCAGCTGGTCACCTACCCCTTCTGACCTCCAACCCCACCCCCGTCTGGTCCTGTCTGCCTTGCCTGCCCCTTCCCTCCTGGTCCAGCCTTCCTGTCCAGGCTCCTTCAAACCTGTTTTCTCCAGGCTACAGCCTCGTGAAGACATCTCTTGTTTTCTGGAACCTCTCTCACTGGAGCCAACCTCTACTTTCTCCTCCTCCTCCCCCTCCCACATCAGCTCAGACATTATTTCATTCAATCAAGGATTTCTTTCCCTTTTTGTGTGTGTTGGGGTCTCTGTTGCCCAGGCTGGGGTGTAGTGGCATGCTCACGGCCACCCCAGCGTCAACCTGCTGGATTCTGGCCATCCTTCCACCTCAGCCTTCCAGGTAGCCAGAACTACAGGCGTGTGCTACCATGCCCGGCTAATTTTTTTCATTTATGGTAGAGACAAGGTCTCGCCAAGTTGCCCGGACTGGTCTCGAACCTGCGGGTTCAAGCAGTTCACTGCCTTGGTCTCCCAAAGGGCTAGGATTACAGCCTGAGCCACTGAGCCCAGCCCTGGCTAATTTTTTGATTGTAGAGACGCCATCTTGTTATGGTGCCCAGGCTGGTCTCAAACTCCTGGACTCAAGCGATCCTCCTGCCTCGGCCTCCCAAAGTGCTGGGATCCCAGGTGTTAGTCACTATCCCTAGCCCATTCAAGGATTTCCAAGCTCCTGATGTGCCATCCATGGCCCCGTGGGCCCCCCAGCAGGGAGGGGTATGAGCCTCCAAACACACATCACCTGTTTCCAGGACTGGTGTAGTCCCTCCCCTGCTCACAAGCTTTCCATGGCTCTCCTTGTCCCCAGGCAGAAACCCTTATCTGAGAGATCCTCGACTCTGCCTCCCCAGGGCTGGTCTTGCTCTCTGCACACACCTGCACCATCCCCTCAACTCCCAGCCCCACCCACAGCAGCTGTCTGTACCAGGCTCAAAATCCAGCCAGTCCTCCGCCATGATGGCTGATTTCCAGCAGATTCCCCTCCTGCCGGCTGGTTTTATGGCTCTTCCTCCGGAGTGAGGACCCTGCAGCCAAACTGGCTATCAGTCCTTTTTTTTTTTTTTTTTTGAGTTGGAGTCTCACTCTGTCCCCAGACTGGAGTGCAGTGGCCACTCCCAGACACTGCAGCCTCGACCTGCTGGGCTCCGGCGATCCTTCCGCCTCAGCTTTCTGAGTAGCCGGAATTACAGGCATGCACTACCACGCCTGGCTGATTTTTCATTTATTGCAGAGATGAGGTCTCGCCAAGTTGCCCAGGCGGGTCTCGAACTCACGGGCTCAGGCAATCCACTCACCTCTGCCTCCCAAAGTGCGGGATTACAGGCTGAGCCACCCAGCCCGGCTAATCAGTCCTATTTTTATGGGCTGGGTCTTATCACCAACCTTCCCTGCTATTTTGTGGAAAGTCAGTTTATCACCCTAGGAAATAGGATCATATCTCCATTTTGCTGAGAAAATTCCCAACAAAGGGATCCACTTAATGCAGCCAACGCACAGCCTCCGTGGGTTCCCCTGCAGCCTCTTCTGCATGCCTGTGCCCTCTCAGCCTCCCCATAAATGAGAAAGGCTCCCGGGCTCCTCCTGTCTCTCAGATCCCTCCACACTCCACCTATCGGAATTAGTCATTATAATAAAAGCAAGTTCACTTGATGGATATGGAAACTGGGGCTCAGAGAGGGACTGGCCCACCCAGAGGCGTGCTGGGTGCTGCAGGGAAGCCTCTGGGTTCTCAGTGACTCAGAAGTAAGCTGGAGGTGAGTGGCTGCCGGTCAATGTTTAACAACTGGCTCTAATTGGTGGCACTTACCAGTCACTATGGTGTCATCACTGCCACCGTGGCTGCTTCAAGTTGCCGGCTTGATGTCACAGAACACAGAGTCAGGCAGACACATGCACAAGCTGCTCTCCAGAGCCTGTGCTAGCCACCTGCAGCCTGCCACTGACTCCACCCGGGATCCCATGATGGGCCCTGGCCAAGAGACTGTCCCAGTCCAAGCCTTTTTCCACTTGGAAACACCTGGCATGAGTCCTGGCATGGAGCGGGCGCCCCAAACATGCTGTTGTTACTAGAATATCATTCACCCAGTATTTACTGGTCGCCGTCCATGTGCTATGCACGGGTCTAAGCACCTCGTGTACTAATCCTGTTTATGCCGCCCAACCCTAAGGTCAGCCCTGTTGTTATCCACCTTGGACAAATGAGGAAACTGAAGCACCGAGCAGTCAGGGAACCGGTGGAAGGTTCCCCCAGCTAGTATGTGGGATTCCAACCTGGGCAACATAACCCAGAGTCTCGACCACGAAGCAATAATCCTGTGCAAAGACTGAACCCCAGAGAAGAACACAGACATCCCCAGTGGCCCACAGCCCAGGACGTGGAGGAACAACCCCGGTGAAGAACAACCCCTGGCCCTGGCCCCGGGAAGGATACTGGCCACAATGAGGACGGTGCAGAGGCTACAGAGGACCAGGCGGAGCGGCCTGATCCAGGGGGCCCCGGGCTGGGGCAGGCTTTTTATCTGCCACCGAAGAAGGAGCTGCAGCCAGAAGTAGGTGTTGCCGAAGACGAAAGCGAGGAAGGCCCCCGCCAGGTGCACCGGCTTCAGGTTCTTTTCCTGGGAGGAGAAGGGAGGAGTTGAGAGGAAGACTATGGGAGGGGAGGGGTGTGATGGAGACGGGGTGGAGGTGGGGGTCCTTCACCAACCCAATCCACGGTGACTGGAAAGTTGTCACCCCCAGGAGTCGGTTTAGGGCTCACTTAGGTCAGCTATTGTCAGTTACACCAGGGCAGGCGCTTAAGTATGGGATTCACTGTTACAGCCTCATTTCCTAGGACGGTGCTTGGCACATAGTAGGTACTCAGTACATACAGGTGAGAGGCCAGGCGCCATGGCTCACACCTGTAATACCTGCACTTTGGGAGACCAAGGCAAGAGGATTGCTTGAGGCCAGGAGCTTGAGAGTGGTCTGGCAACATAGCATAGCCTCATCTCTACAAAAATAAAAAGTAGCCAGGTGTGGTGGCATATGCCTGTTGTCCCAGCTACTTGGGAGGCTGGGGTGGAAGGATCGCCTGAGCCCAAGAGATGGAGGATGCTGTGAGCCGTGATCGTGCCATTGGACTCCAGCCTGGGCTACAGAGTGAAACTCAACTAAAAAAAAAAAAAGTGAAGCCGGGCTCAGTGGCTCAACCTGTAATTCCGTGCCTTTGGGAGGCTGAGGTGAGTGGATTGCC